CTCTCCTCCTCTCCTCTCCTCTCCTCTCCTCTCCTCTCCTCTCCTCTCCTCTCCTCTCCTCTCCTCTCCTCTCCTCTCCTCTCCTCTCCTCTCCTCTCCTCTCCTCTCCTCTCCTCTCCTTCCTCCCTCCCTCCCTCCCTCCTGCCTTCTCTCCCCCTTCTCTCCCCACTCAACTTCCTCTGCCCTCCTCTACCTTCTCCCCCTCTCTCCCTCTCTTCTCCCCTACCTTGAGCACGGAAGACGGCAGCAGTTTGCGAGATGAGCCATCGGCATTCTTCTTGGGAGTTGCCTGAGCGTGCGATAAGAGGACGGCAATGGGAGAACAAGAGCAGCGGCCGCAAGCGTGAAGTTTGAGAGGAGCAATTAGTATACACCGCTGACGAATGATCGCAAGGAATGAGCAAAGGAGCGGAGTAGCACCAAGAGGAGAAGTGGATGCAGTAGCGAGAGCAGTAGCAAGAGGACGAGTATCAACAGCAAGAGCAAGAGCAAGAGCAACAGCACGAGGAGTACGAGGAGGACGAGGAGGAGCGAGGAAGGGCAAGCAGGAGGACCTTGACGGTCAAGAAGTCTCTTCGATTGTCCAGCAAGGATCTTGGTGAAGGGGGGGAAGTCACGCCGTTGACCAGGGCAAGAGCGCGAGCGAGCGCGGAGAGCCCTGAGCTCTCATAAAGACTTTCTGCCTCCTTCATGAACAGCCGCACGACTGCTTCGTCCACCTCTTCCATCCTCCTCCTCGTCCTGCGGCTCATGGCAGACATCTTCTCCTCGGGGCCCGGAGCATCTCGGTAGTCGAACTTCACCTTGGCACTCCTCTCCAGCGCCTGCACAAGTTTCTCCTCCCCCGCGGTCGGGTCCCACAGCAGGACGCTAGTGCCGCTCCTCCCCATCCTTCCCGTTCGTCCGCTCCGATGCACGAAGACTTCTGTGTTGACCACCTCCGCCAGCGTCTTCGTCTTCCTCCTCATCGCCCCTGACGCTGACAGCGGGACGCCACACTGCACGACCAGGTCCAGATCCGCCACGTCGATGCCTCTAGAAGCCACGTCCGTGGCGACCAGGACAGAGACGTCGCCCTCCCTCAGCATGCGCATCACGCGATTGCGCTGAAACTGCGGGAGGTCGCCGTGCAGCACGTCCACGTTGGTGCTCGTGCTCGACTTGGTCAGCTCGTTTGCCAGCTCAACCGCCTCAAGCTTCGTGTTTGCAAAGACGATGGCACGACGAGGGCCTGAGGTGAGGAGCAAGTCAGTGATGACTTCCGCCCTGCTGCCTGCTGCTGCTCGGATAGCCACATGAGAGATTCCGCTCGTCTCCTCCTCTTCCTCCTTCGCCACCTTCGCCAAGCTCCTGTGCAGACCGCTCGAGTCGATCATCACGGGCCTGCGACAAACGTCCTGTGCTACCCTGAGGAGCTTGGGAGGAAGCGTCGCTCCGAACATGAGCTTCTGCGTCCTCCTGAACCTGGGAAGGCTCTCTAGGATCGAGTCGATCTCTGGGGCGAACCCTTGCTGAAGCAGCACATCAGCCTCGTCGAGAACGAGTACTTCTATGGAGGAGCAGGAGAGCTGGCGAGAGGAGACAAGGTCCACGATCCTTCCTGGTGTTCCGACCACCACGTCAACTCCTTCCTTGATCTTCTGAACTTGAGGATGCATGTTCGATCCTCCTGTCACCGCCACCACCGACACGTTTTTCCCTCCTGTCTTGCGAAACTCTCGTTCGATCTGATTCGCCAGCTCTCGTGAAGGAGCAATGACGAGGACTCGGGGGTTCTTCGAAGTGTCAGGAGGCTCCTCAAGGATACTGTCAAGCAGGGGGAGGGCGTAAGCAAGCGTCTTCCCAGTGCCTGTTGGCGATACTGCTATGACGTCCTCCCCTGCTCTGATCGGAGCGTAGCAAAGCTCTTGCACTCTCGATGCCTTTTCGATCCCTCGGCTACGCAAGTTGGACATGCTTTGCTCTGTCAGATTGAAGTTCTCAAAGAAAGAAGAGCCCTCCTTTTCTTCCTCCTTCTCCTGCCTTTCTCCCTCCACGTTCAAACTGTTTCTCAAGGCAACGTCCTTGCTTCCGTGTGACTGAGAATGAATGCGCGGGGAGAAGATGGACGTCGCGAGAGTCTGGCTCGACTGTCTCCTTTGGCTCTTCAAGCAAGCATTTTCTGCTTGAAGAGCCATGCTTTGACGAGACCAGGAGGTGGAGAGTGCAGCAGTATGCAAACGAAGAGGAGCAAGAGGGGAAAGAAAACAGCACGATGAGGCAGAGCGAAAAGAAGACAGAAAAGGAGACTGAGAGCTGCAAACCATACCATCTACAGCCAAAATGTGTATCAATATGGTAATCACCATCACCATCAACATGTTCATCTTCGTCTTCATTATCCCTTCACCCTTGCGTCCCTCCTTCATTTTCCCTGCTTTCTGCAGCTTTCCGTGCAGCTTCTGTTTTGTGGCCCCCAATCTTCTCCGGTCATCCATCTACCGCGGTTGCGTCTAATTCTCGGTCATCCATCTATTGTGGTACACAGCGTCAAGGCGACGGAAGTTGACCAAAGGTTGCTACGGGTGCGCTATGGATGAACTGGTGAGGAGACAAGAAGGGGCAGGGATGGTAGAGAGGAGGAGGGAAGGTAGAGAGGAGGAGAGGGAGAAGACTCTCAGGTAGAAGGAGGACTTGAAGAGAAAGGATAGCGAAGTAGAAGACTGTATGGAGTCTATCTCATTCCTTCACCAGCTGACTTGAACATGTGCAGCTGAGATGGTTGGGGTTTTGCCAGAATGACTCCACCATGATGGAGGAGGTTCAAGATGCGGGTCAGGCAGCACAAGCACAAGTTACGCAGGAGTTGAACAGGTCAGTGATGGTTCGAGGGAGCGGCTGGGGGTGACATGCCTGCAAACCATGAAAGTCAGCGAGATGAGATTTGGGGAGATGTTCATCTTCAACAGAAGAACGAAATCTTCAGGTGAAGTCCAGAGATGTTGTTGTGCCCGTCTATGATACTTCGTGAAGACCAGGGGCGAACGCAAGGCATCAGGATATCGACGACAGCTCATCAGATCCGTCGATGACCTCCACCATCGACAGCCATCAGAGTCCTCTTGTTCTCGATTCACACTTTCGTGCTCTGCCCGCCAGGCAGCTTCCTGGTGCTGTATCTCGTGGCTCGACTAGCAGTCGGTGAAAGATTACCTGAGCAGCAGCAGCCAAGGAGGTGGACGAGATCCGGTTTCACTCCTGCCCTTTCTCAGTCGAGGACAAGCTCCTTGCGGGACGATACATCGACAAGCACTACAGACATGTGATGTGACTGCTGCCCCTTAGTGACTTGTGACTTTGCTCGAACAGAAATGGGAGAAAATGAGGGACGAGAAGGTGTCGCTGATGTTGTGGTGAGCTGATCCAGTGAACTCTTGCCATGCAGATCGACCCCATCGTCCTCAGTGACGCTGAGAAGACGATCCGAGCTTCGGACCTCCGCCGCATGCCCCACTCGAAGGTGGCTCGGGGTGTAGGGGGAGTGAGTGAGAGGATGATGAGGTGCTGGTGCAGATCCAATCTATCGTTGACCTGTCGAGCAAGAGGTCGAAGGAGAAGCACAAGGCTCCGATAGAAGTCCTCGGGATCGTTCTCCAGCCAAAGTTGCAGCATATCCTCAACACCTTGCCAAAGCTCACGAAGAAGAAAATCTTGCAAGACACCCGATCAGCGAGGCCGAGGGATGTTGAGAAGTTCATCATCCAGCAGATCCAAGAGAACACGGGATCCGTCTTTGACAGCGGTGACACAAACATGTGTCAGTCTCAGCATCTGACGTCAGCCTCTTCACCCACCAGAGCTGGGCTCCAAGTACATCGACGAGGTCGTGTTCAAGAGGCTGCCTCCGACGGAGGAGCAGGAGCGAGAGATCATCCGATCGAGGTGGGAGAGATCAGCTGGGGTAGTCCTGACAGGCATGCAGGATCATGCAGATGGAACGAGTTCAAGAATCAGACGATATCATGAAGTTCTACGAGGGGAGGAACGAGCAGTCGTTCCAGATGAAGGCAGGAGAGATAGTGCACGAGAAGTACCAGCAGCACAAGAGCGCGATAGTCAACAAGAGGCTGAACATCTTCAAAGTCAACGAGGCCCACAGGTTTGAGATTTGGATGCACAAGGTTGTTGCAATCTGCGCTCGTCACGTTGACTGACCCTCGAGCAGACGGAGAAGAGCGTCAATTACAAGAAGATCTAGAAGACAAGAGAGCAGAACAGAGGAGGTACCACCATGTTGATTAATGAATAGGACAACTTCACTTGCTCCTTCTCACTCTCTGTCTCTTCGTCTTGCTACCTTGCTCTGCGTCACTTCTCCCACCAGAGCGCTTCTTGGTCTTGGGAGTCGAGGCAGAAGCTCTTGAGCTGACCAAGTAGTCGTCCATCGACACCTGCTCCCTGCACGATCTGAGCGCAGACGTCAGTCAGATGCATGGACACACCAACGGCTCACATGAAATCTAGGATGTACGAGGCCCTGACAAGTTTGAGCCGCTCGTTGGAGAGGGAGGAGCTTGCGGAGAGCTCGCCGCTGTCTTCCGGGAGGAGGATGGTGACCGACTCTCTCGCGCTCTCCGACAGGCTTCTGAGTATCGACGACTCGCTGCAGATGGAGCAAGATCCTCCTCCTGCCGTGATGACCTGGGCAAGAACAGCTGCTGGCGGGTTTGTGCCCTCATGGATCACAAAGTTTTGACCCTCGAAGGGTCCCTGGCCGTTCCTCTCACGGAACAAGCGCCATCGCCTCGGAGCCCCGTGCCACAAGTTGGTGTCTGCGCTCTCCTTCTTGGGCTCGTGCCACTCGTACTCCGAGGGATCGAGCCATCGCCCGTTCTGAGCGCAGGCTTGCAGGTACTCCGGCTTCCTGCAGGAGCATGTCAGCCCTTCCTCTAAACCTCAACAGCCTCACAGGATCCAGATGCCTTTGGCGCAGGCGCACAGAAACTTCTCGGTCCTGCGGAGTTCCGTACAGAGCACATGGGTGGTGTCCGGATCGAAGTGATGCGAGTATGCCGACTTCCCTCCCAGCCTCCTCACGATTGACACCTGCTCCTGTCGCTCTGCTGTCCTGCCGCACACCAGCACAAACGGTTGAGGCCTTGCGACCAGCGCCGAGGGAGAAGTCTTGTTGGTTTGCTTCTGGTTCCTCGTGCGGATCTGATTCTTCGTGGCAGGAGAGATGCTCGTCAGCTTGCTCGCTTCACCTCGCCCTTCCTCTGAGTCTTTTCTGTTCCGGCAAGTCAATTCGCTCCCGCTGCCCGGAGGCCCGTCCTTGGGCCCACCAGTCCTCGCACTTGTACGTTGGTTGGAGGCGGGCGCAGAACTTGACGATGGGCTGGCACGAACATGCTCAGCGGTATTGCTGACAACCTTCGGACTTTGACGTCCGTAGCTGCGGCGGAAAGATCCGAACACGTCATTCTCCGAATTCGCTGACGCTTCCACGCGAGCAGACTGCAAAGGGGTTGTGCTCGCGATCCTGCTGGGAGGAGCAGGTTCAGCATCACGATGGCCGCTAGCGTTTTCATCTGAAGTCTCGTCCTCATCGTGAACATTGTACATAAAATCTGTCCTCGAGCACAGATTGACTCTACAGTCGGGTGACTCAGATGTCAACTTGGGGGTCTTGGCGAGGTGACTCGAACCCACTGATGTCAGCACGTCATGCTCGGACTGCATCCCCGACCGATCGTAGAGGTGCGACGGACCTTGTCCTCCACTAGCAACTCTCTCTACTCTATGTGCCAGCCTTCCGTGTGTTACCGACTTTTCAACGCTTCCTCCTTGCCCCCTTACAGCAGGGCTGCTAGAACTCATTCGATGGCTCACTGGCGGCGCATCGCGATCATTGGAGTGCATCCTTGCAGTCGCCTCAGCCCCTGCTGGTCTCCTGGCGCTAGTGAGAGGAGCATCACTCAAGTCGGCAGATTCGCCATCGTTGAGAAATCCATCCACCCCTCTCGTTTGATCGTCCGCGCGAGTGCCATACATGCTATTCAGAACAGAGGCTGCTGCTTGAGAGGAAAACTTGTTCAGACTGGGACGGTCTACTTCGCAAGCACGATCATTGGAATCTTCTTCTGCAGTCCATTCCTGACCAGAATGTTACTCTTGATAGTGTGCGATGAAGCCCATAAGAATAATGACCTGGGAATCAGGGTAGACTTGATCATCATCTGCAGCTGTAGCAGCAGCTGCAGCTGATTCATTCTCTGCAGAAAACGTCAAGAAACAGGAGATTAACGAGAACATTCAAGACCGAAGTCGTCGAGAACAAGGGGATGAATGAAAGGCAAACTTCTCAAAGCCATGAGATCAAGCTTTGTCCACATTTCCTCGTTTCCAGCAAAAAACAAAGATTCGATGCTGTAATCCTCCTCATTCAACCACTTTCCTGACACTACACTGTCCATGAGCCACTGATGACCAATAATCTTCAGACCCCAGTCACGAGCAGCATTCACCTTCTTTGAGGTGCATGTAGTTGAAATCAGATGTGTGTTGGTTTTCGTCAACTCCTTTGTCGCCTCAGCTCCACTCAGCTGAATAATCTTGATCAAAATATCCCGGCACTGCCCTGTATACCCCGTGACAGAGATTCGCTTGATAGCCCCTTCCCTTATCATGCCTTGGTTGTACGGATAAAAAGTCCATCCCTTCCAAACCAGGCTCTTCTTGGGCCAGATGACAGTACAAAACTGGAAGCACTCTTTGACCCACTGCAGAGTTCGACATTTCGCATGCTGAGGAGAAAGCTCGTCATGAGATTGATCAACGATGTAGTAATTGCATGAAGTTGCTTCACAGAACGATCCCCCAGCAGCTAGGATCCATCTCTCCACCTATAGACCGTTACACCTTGCCCAACCAAGAGGCACACAACTTACAATGTCAGAACTTCTCAGAGAGGGAGACAAGTGAAATGTGTTTCCCGAAAAGGCCTTTCAATAGAGATCAATCATCCTAAAACTGAATCTTTGGATTACCTGACACTGGAAATCTTTCAATCTTGACAAGTCCACTCTGCTTTCAGAGTTCTCCAAAAGACAACGAAGATCATACTTTGAATCGGAGCAGAGATGCTGCTCTTTGATGCAGTCTACATACCACTTTATGGGCAAAATTTTGGTTTGAGAAGAATCAATAGCTTTCTGACAGTCTGGCCCCCGCACAAAACCAGCAATGACATGCGTACACTGATTTGTGAATTCGCTAATCGCACGACCCCCGAGGAGTTCGATTCCATTGCGCACTAATTCTTCAACCTTAGGGGGCACGTTCAAGATGCATATCAAGCTGTCAGCAAATATTTTTTTGGAGAGATCAGGACTGTGCAACAGAACATCCAAGTCCTGCTCTGCGAGCTCAGGCAATCTACAGTTCTTTCTGCGTTGAGACAAGAAATCAGACACAGCAAACCACAAGAATGTTCAAGTCACCGCAAGCACTCTCTAATCCACTTGAGGTTCACAATCCTCGGTCTCAGTTCCACGGAGTCGATTCTGACTTGGCTCATATCCTCCTTGTCAGTGATAAGATGTGTGAAGTTCACATCATCCATCTTCCCCCCCCTCTCAACGACGGACTTGATGAGGTCCTCCAAACCATCATCCCCAATGTCTTGTGAGTTTGTCTCGTCAACTTCCGGGTCGACAGAGAAGAAGCATCCTTGGAAGATTCCATCTGCTGGTTTCCGCGGACTCATCTAAAGCAACAGAAAGCAGTTACACCATGAGTTCCATTTGTCAAGATATGTATTTAGCAGAAGAATATCTTGACTTGTATGCAACTCATTCATAAAATTGATCTAACAAGCATTTTGTGTCGAAAAAAAAACTGTTCTGACTTCCTACAGCATCATTTACTCACACTAAATCGTTGTGGTAGCCTAATAAGGAGGATAACCTTTCTCCTGGTGAAAATCTTCTTCTTTTTCTTCTTCTATAGTATCCTTCTCATAGAAATTTCACTCGCCTTCTTGCATCTGTCCTCCCCACGGCACTTCTCTCATCGATCCCCCCCCCCGCATCCCTCCATTTCATGACGCCCTATTCGGAACCTACCCCATCTCTCTCAGGAGAAGGATGCTCCTGCCTTCTCCTCTCAGAGCTTCTCATTGTTAGACCATTCTTCCATCTTCTTCCCCTGATAGCCTCCTCCTCCTTCTCCTCCTCCTCCCTCCCCACCAATCCCCCCCTCCCCCTTCCCTCCACCTATTATTGCATTGACTCGCGCCATGTTGCCCTTCGGCTGCGCGGGAAGGCCTGGACCATTGGCCTTATTCTTGAATCTGTACCCCCTTTTTTCTATCGGCCAGAGACTGAAAGGTACCGGGTATTTGATAACCCCCACCCCCTCGAATTAGAGTTCGTGACACGCTTAGAGTGGATGGATCGGATCTGCCAGTGCCGCATCCGAGGGCCTCATCCCATTCCTCACACTGACCGTTAAACGGTTACGCTTCATCAGTGCCACGGTGAGCGACTCCGAAGATCCGAGCCGCTGAGCCTGGGCATCGTATGCCGCATGCAGGATGATAGGTTGCGCCGCGCTATCCGCTCATGGGCTCCGTGCTGGCATCAGTTTTAACTTAACTTGAGTGACTGTAACTAGCGTCAAGCAAAGACTTGCTCAGGATCATTATAGATCAAATTATGAAGAGGGCCTTCAACCATTTACTCTGGGCCCGCCCGGCGTCGGTATATCACCGTCTCGGCCGCCCCTGAGTGACACGGCGGCCCGCCCGGCCCGGGCGGCCCGGCGGCCGGGTCCGTTGAGATCCGTAACGAATTCGTTGCGGCCACATGCATGCACCCTTGCGGTCATTGTGAGTGTGTGGAGGAGGAGCAGCAGAAGAACGGAGAGGAGGAAAAGCAATGATGCAGTGAGGAGAATAGAAGATGATGTCATACAAGTTTCAGAGTGTATCAGAACACTGTCATACGTAAAAAAACTGCTGCAGAATACTGGAAGAAGGTTTTACGAGCAAACTTTGATCAGAAGTGAGCATGAGCTCGCTGCTCCAAAGTGTGGGAGTGATTTCAATCAATCAAGCGAGGAGAATGGCCGTAGTATATACCACATGGTCAAGGAAAGGTCCAGGCTTCCCTGTACCCAGAGCGTTGTTCCCTCAAGTCAGCACGAGAACGGGTCCCCTGGTACGTGATCTTCGAACTATGCAAAGTCAACCCCAGATTCCGCCAGTGTCATATGGCCGGCTGTTTGCCCATTCACATCTCCAGAGAATGTCGTACTGGAGGTTGTATCCGATGGCTCACTTCGACACTCGCAGTCTTCATCATCCCATCGGCACGAATAGGCCAATGGCCCTGAAGACCAGAGTAACACAGCCGTCGACAGTTTCGACTGATAGGGCGAACAAGAGAAGTTATCATCATGAAGACAAGAATCACGAGGAAGAGGCAAGAGAGACATTCATCGACAAGTACGCCCTGTGGTCCATTCTGTCAGTTAACGTGGTGGTTTTCTGCATGTGGCAAAACCTGTCCTGGAGGAGATTTATGGCCAAGAACTTTGCAATATCGACAGCAGCAGTCACACAGGAGGGGAGATTTCATACCATCATCACATCTTTCTTTTCTCATTACGATTGGGTTCATCTCGGCGCCAACATGTGCTGCCTCTGGTTCTTCGGAGCCGAAACGCTCCGCATCCTGGGAGGTCGCAAGTTCCTCGCGCTCTATGTAGGAGGAGGAGGATGGGGAGAAGGAGGAGGATGACTTAAGTGAAGGTGGGAGGAGGGCTTGTATCCAGCATCTTCCAAGTGCTCTGGCCGCGCATTGCCCCGGAGAAGGTCCGGTACTCGCCCTATCAGTTGGGGTTGGGTGCGAGGCAAGAAAGTTGCAAGTTTATGTTCGTATAATGACGGCGATGTTGCAGCGGCGCAGTCAATGCTGTGGTTGCCTACAACATCCTGACATATCCAAGGTGAGGGACTAGATGATCCAGGCGGAAAGCGATAGTTGCTCTGTAGGTAGATGATTGATACAGCTGACGTTTGCTTCTTTTGCAGTCGCATCATTTTGATTTACGCGATCTTCCCTGTCCCGGCCGCTGCCCTGGGGCTGATGTTCTTGGGAAAGGTGAGATGCCAACTAGTTCTCAGAGCACCTGATGTAACCATTGTAACTTTACTCAGGATTGCATCGGACTCCTTGTCGGAGATCTCACTTATGGCAATGCTGCTCACACGAGCGGATCCCTGGTAACCCCACGGCCTTGCAGTTCATTGCTTGTGTTTGACGAGGTTTACTCAGTTTGGGTTGTTCTTTTGGATTCTGACAAGAGGGAAGACGTATTTGTTCTGATGCAGCGCCAAGACAGCCGGGGAGCCTTCTGAATGTCCGATTTGTCATAGCAAGGGATGTTCAAGTTTGTATTGCAGCAGGGAAAATTGTATTATATTGTGAGAGTGAAGGGCGGTCAAGATACAGAATAAAAATTCAACCCAGCTTCAGTCATGGTCGAGTTGATTTCTATAGGCTTCATCACCAATTAGCTGAAGAAGTCAGTTACAACTCCCGTCATCCCTTCACCACCATTACCTCGACAACACCCTTCTTGACTGCGTTCACTTTGTTGGCAGATAAGATCATGACCTGCCGCAAACATCACCGAGAAGCGTCGCAACACACATGGCCGCACCTTCCCGTACCAGAACAGACCGTCCTCGCCCTGCTTGCTACTCATCGGGAAATCGAACTGGAGCTGAAACCTCAAGTGAGCAGGGGAGAATTCAAGGAATATGGGGGGGATACATCTGCATGAGAGCTGTAAACTTCATCCTCTGCCTGCAGTCACAGGTAAGAAGAGCATGCGAGGCGCGCCAGCCTGACCTTGAGATAGACGATATCACCTTGCTCCGCCTCCTTCTTCTTCTGCTTCTTCGGCTTCTCAGCTCTCTCCTCGTCCTGCCTTGGTCAGACCACTTTCCCCCTTGGAAGGTTCCCTCACATGTGGTTTGAGGACTTGAGTGAGAATCACGAACTTGTCAAATTTGTACGTCTCCCCTGACTGGAACCACCTCACGCCACATGACACGCTCTCAGAAAATCACCTTGGCCTTCTTGGCACCTTCGATCTCATCGAACAGGCTATTGATCAAAGGGACAGCCATGTCTTGAGGCATGTTGATCATTCTCTCACTGACAATCAGCCCCACGTTGGTGTTTGTGCTGTCAAAGATTGACTGAATCGAAGCACTTGCTTGCTTGGAGCTCTTTGAGAGGATAAAATCGCGAATCTGTTTCAGGCATTCCTTGTCTCTGTTTGCTTTCATGCTAATCACCGACATGAGACCATAAACTTCTTCTTCATCCTTCACTTTCACCACTGTTCCCACTGTCCCTGATTGCTCGAGGACAAGGTCGCAGAGTTCGGATGAGTTGTACTCAGCCCCGTCAAGGAAGTTGAGGAGGAAGAGCTTCATTCCATGGAAGTCTTCTTCCTTCGGATTGAAGCTGTCGAACACCACCTGGATCTCGTCGTACTCGCTCTCGTCGCTGTCTAGCTCAGTCGCTTCTCTCTTCTGCTTCTCTTGATACTCCAGGCGCATCTCCCCCGAGTCGTCGCTCTCGATTTCACTGGAGCTCTCGCTCTTGCCAGCCTCAGCTTTACCGGGCTGTCTCGCAGCTGCGCGAGGTTGCTTCTTGCCACTCTCCTCTCGCTTCTTGGAGAGCTTCTTGCCACTCTCCTCTCGCTTCTTGGAGAGCTTCTGTTTGCCTGCCCCTCCCTCTCCTGCTTCCTTCCGTGCCTTCTTTCTCTGCTCCTGCTTCTCTCTCTTTGTTTCGGATGATTGTCGCTTCAGGATAGCAGCTCGGTTCGCCCTTCTGATCGCATCTACGTCGTCGTCCTCTTCGTCCTGTTCATGCTTCGGCCAAGCCTTAGTCTGCTCATCGGCCTTTGCGACCTGCGAAGTTGATTTCAGGCCTTCGACAACAGCATCCCTCCCATCCTCTTCCTCCTTCCCCTCCTTCCAACTGTCTGACAACTAAATGCCTTCCTCCTCGTCCTAGCCACACGTTCTCATCCCTCCTCCTCCTCCTCCTCCTCCTCTACTCCAATCTCCTGCTCCTGCTCTCCTGCTCCTCCTGCTCCTGCTCCTCCTCCCACATCACCTTGAAGCCACGTTTCTTCTTGCCCATGGCACGCGATCCGACCAACCCACAACCCCACCCACCCTTTTCTCTTCATTTGTACCCCTCCTTTACTCATAAAAGGTGGGGCCATGCGGGAACATCTAGGATGGGCGATGCGAGCGACGGCCATGGCGGCGACGGCGATCGTAACATGCACACCAACCTCCTGCTATCAAGCTCCTTCTTCCTTGCGCCCTTCAAGCTTGTCCTGCCCTCGGCCAGTCTGTCTCCACACACAAGTCACTCAGCTTGACGCCTCTAGACCCACCACAAGGCGGAGCCTGGCGAGAGCGTCGAGTGCGAACGGGAACGTCGAGCTGCACGACGAGATGCTGCAGAAGGAAGTGAAGCGAGTGATAGAGCGATTCAATCTCCCCGAGGACGAAGCTCTTCGCATTGCGATTCAAATCTGTGAGAGGAAGGCTTCCGTGCAAGCGCAAAGATCGGTCCTGGTCGAGAGTGATGAGAACCGGGTTGAAGCAAGTGAAGAGCCTCCAACCAAGGAAGAAACTATTGCAATACCATCCATCATTGCAAGCGATCCCTTTGAAACTACGGTGAGGCATCCGGAGGACTGCCCAGTGAGCGTTGAACCGTACTCTGATCTGCACTTGAAGTCGCAGAAGCAGCCGGGGAAGAAGCAGAGGCAGTTCGAGAAGATAGAGCAATGGAAGGAGATGGCGAGATCGCAGGAGGAGCTGACGGAGGAGGTTGAGAGGCCGACGTGGTTCATTTGTTCCCCCTCACTTGCCCTGCAGTTAGCGGAGGAGAAGCAGCGACGGTTGAACCAGTGGAAAGACAAAGCAGAGCTCTTCAAGAGCCGAGTGTCGAGAACAAACGAAGCGGTATCACTCGCATGCTGCAGCTGGCCTCTAGCTGGCCTCTAGCTGGCCTCTAGCTGGGCATGCAGCTCATCGGTTTGCAGGTCTTCGACGTTTTCCTAGAGTATGACAGCAGCGGGGACGGGACGATGAGCAAGGAGGACTTGAGGTCGGCGTTGGCTGAGTTTGACATCCGACTGCCGCCGGAGGTGTCGAGCGCCTCGCCTCTTGTCCCGTCTGCTGACGTCACTTGGCTCCAGACCCTCCAGTCTATCCTCGACGACCTGGACCTGGTGGAAGGGGATCGGCTGACAGCCAACGAGCTGCAGGTTCACTCTTCTCCTTGCGATGCTCCTTTCCCTCTGCTCCTCTCCCTCTCATCTGCTGTCAAAGAGGATCGTTCAACGCTACAAGCCGTACTTGGCAGTCTGGTTCTCGTCAGAGTCAGCGCAGGAGGTGTGGTGAGGCGTCGACGTCTCGGGCTCTGAACTTGATGACCCGCAGGTCCTGGACGTGATGAGCGATCAGTTTATTCGCATGTCAAACTTCATGAAAAGAAACTTTCAGATTCAGTTCCAGCGGTACGACACGGTCAAAAAGCTGCAGGAGGAACTTTCCAAGACGTCGAAAGAGGAGCAACAGTAACGCCTCGAGGTTGCAAGCACTTGTCTGATAACATAGGAAAACATAACGAGAATGGAAATCCTCCTGATGATGTTGCTTGGTCGTCACATGTCCTTGCGAAAGAGCTTTGCTCTTCCTACCTTACTTCTCCTTCCTCTCCTTGTCAGGAACGGCAACCCTGCGTCAGCAACATGGCATCAGCAAAGCAGTCAGCACATAGCCCTGATATGTCGCCTTTCCTTTCTCATACAACTCACATCAAGGAAACAAGAAATGACAGAGGTAAAAAGAACAAATCGACAGCCGTCAGAGGTTGGGGTGGGCGGCAAGGAGTCAGGAGGCGATCAGCGAGGACTCGGTGCAGGTCTCATTCTCTCTCTCATCATCGCACTATCTGCATGACAACCTGTAGACCCAGTAGCAGAGAGCCGCCACATGCGCTGCTGCGATCCCCATCACGATGAGCCACAACGAGCTGTGCCCCTCCTCTGCCATTGCGGGACCCAGTACTTCTCCTTATCCCTACCCCCCTTTTTGTCTGGTATAGTACCCCTACCGCACAGACTGTCGGGGTTTGCTTGCGCCACTGCGAATGCAGGAGGGAGAGGGAGAGGGCGTAGGAGAGGGAGAGGGAGAGGGAGAGGGAGAGAGGAGGGAGATGAAGAGGGAGAGGGAGAGGGAGATGAAGAGGGAGAGGAAAGAGGGCAGGAAGGAGAGCGAGGGCGGAGGGAATAGGGAAGGAGGGAGAGAGGGGGGGGGAGGAGGAGGAGGGAGGGTCAAGTGGTGGAAGGTGGGCGGTGACGAGGGATTGTGAGCGAGGATGATGGGGAAACAAGGAACAACAAGTATAATCTCAATAGGATGGTCGGATTGACTACTCAGGGAAACGTTTTATTCTCGTCTTTGTACAGTTGAAGTAAACAAGTTAGGGAGCCAACTAAGTTTTCAGCTCCTTCAGCCGTGCGTGAAACCCTGCAAAATCCAATCATCGACCTCCTTTCTCTCCTCCTCCTCCTCTTCCTTATCATCATCATCATCACCACCACCACCACCACCACCATCACCGCCGCCGCCGCCGCCGCGCCGCTGCTACCCGCCTCTCTCCTCGCCTCGCCTACCCTCCTTTCCCCCCCCTCTCTTGCTTCCTCCCTCTCCCCCACATCCTGGGTGAGTCAGCGAGCAGCTACCGGGGAAGTGACAGTCGCCCTTGAGCTGGAGGTTGACCTTGCTGAGGGTCTGCAAGGACGTCAAACCCTCGAGGAGATGGGGGAGGGGGAGGGGGCGCGGAGGGCACCTGAGGACGCGCTAGCGCTGCTCCCTGTACTCTGACCTGCGAAGCTCGTTAGATGCGGCGAAGTAGAGAGGAAAGAGGACGACAAGCGGGGAAGAAAGAGGAGATGGAGAGGAGAGGAGAGAACGGGGGGGGAGGGGAGGGAGAGAGAGGCTGGGAGGGAAGAGAGAAGGAGAGGAGGGAGAGAGAGGCTGGGAGGGAAGAGAGAAGGAGAGAAGGGTGGGGAGGGACGAGGTGATTGTCTCACCTTCCGCTTGCGAGGTTCTGGCAGCTGTGAACTGGGAGGAAGTTGTTGGAGAAACTGATTGTAGAGCTCCAGCCTTGAAGACAAGTCAGAAATGGGGCGAGAGAGCAAGCAAGTGAGAAGGTGTAGGAGGAAGAGAGGGAGCAGGGGCAGGAGGAGGAGGAGGAGGAGGAGGAGGAGATTGCATACAAGTGGAGTTAGGGAGGAGAAGAGGAGAAGTGAAGGAAGAACAGTAGAAGCGCATCACAGGAGAGGAGGAGGAAAAAACATGTTCTAGAACATTCTACTTCACCTGATGCCTCCCAACGTGACCTCGCAGAAGCTTTGATCGGTTGGTGCGATGATCCTGCAAGCGACAAGTTGAGACAGGAGGAAAAACGGGAGGGAGAGGGAGAGGGAGAGGGAGAGGGTGGGTGGGTGGGTGGGAGAGAGGGAGGGAGAGAGGAGGAAGAACAATGTAGAAGGGAGAGAAGTAGACCATTCGAGCGGTTTGGAAGTGACGGGAATCTCGAGGTAGCGCATGAATAGCAAGCTGAAAACACTTTCAGCTTCTGACGAGAGACAGAAGAAGCGAGAGAAAGGAGGAGAGCGGGAGAGAAATAATGGGGAAGTAACAACAAGGAGAGGAGGAGGAGGGAACAAAGAGGCAAGTACCGAGGTCGAAGGATGCGGTCAAGAGGATAAGCAAACACTTGA